ATGGCTACAGAGCTAAGGTGCTGCCTGTCTGTGCAATGAAACAGTAAAGAAACAAAGAACTAGGAAGACCTCTGTATGCTGGATGTCCACTAACTTCCAAGCCTCCTTTTCAAACACCAAATGAACCCGTGAACTCCTCACAGGTCATCTCCACAATCTGTGCCACAGCTGTTAAACCTGCTCAAAAGAGTCTGAACAACACCTCAGAAGAAGCATTTCCAAAAGCAAATCCCACAAAGAGGCCATAAACCCCAGAAGTCTCATCTGTGACATGTGACCAGCCTCCATTGGCATGCTTGAAATCAGGCCTTATGGTTGTGTTTGAGGGTGCCAGGATGAGGGAAGAGATGAGAATTTTGACTCCATGTTTTAGAAGGCTGATTTATTATATTATGATATATATTATATTAAAATTATATCCTAAAACTATGCTAAAAAGAATAGAGAGAAAAGATCCTTCAGAAAGCTGGAAAGGACAGGAATGGAATGAATAACAAAACCTTGTGACTGCTCACAGCCTCGACACAGGTGGCTATGATTGGTTATTAAGTGAAAACAATCCACATGGACCAATGGAAGATGCACCTGTTGCATTCCACAGGAGCAGACAGTTATTGTTTACGTTTCTTTCCTGAGGCTCCTCAGCTTCTCAGGAGAAAATCCTGGCAAAAGGATTTTTCAGAAAATATTGTGGCAACAAGGCCTCAGACTGCACATGTAAACCAAAATTTGTTCCTTAGAGCGAGGAGCTGCCCAGGCTGCTTTTTCTTGGTTTTATTCACAGCAAGCTGCACGTGGAAGAGTTTGAGTGAAACACTGTGTTATTAAATTTGGCACTAACAGTTTGTAGTTCTCACTACCGCTCAAGGAAATGCGTAGTGGTAGAAAACAAGTTCCAAACATCTTAATTATCCTGAAATCTTATTCTGAAAGTATTCTCAGCCCCAGATCAAGATCAAACAGCATCAAGGTACTGAAGAAATTCATCCCAGCAAATGCAAATGTTGTACTGCCTCCAGGAACATCCCAGATTTGTCACCTCTACAGAGTGTTAAAATATATTAAAAAAAAAAAAAAAGCTCAGCGGTTAGACCCCTACCTGATTTTGAATTAACTAAAGGACAGGAGCAGTTCTGGTTTTGGTTTGTAGAAACCACACACAGCAAAGGCTGCTGAAACTTCAAGCAAGCACAAGTTTTGCGGGTAGTAATCTATGATCAATGTTCAAAAATGCAGTGTTCAGATTATGCAACGTTATTTCTATGTTTTCATGGTTTCCTGGAAATGGGAGAGCAGGGTGTCTGAGGCAGTTTGCTGCCAATGACTGGACACCACCAGATGGCCCCCGTTACATATCTCTTCTAATGCTCAGCCATGAACAGTCAGACAGACAGGAAAAGTCAAGAGATGAGCATTTAAACGTTCCCAATTGTAAAACAGCAGTAGAAAAAGACATTTGGAGCCAAGGGAATAAAGGATTTGAGCTACACCAATCAGTTTCACAGGTATGTTACAGGGAAAGATCATTATAAAAATGAGCACACTGCCCAAGTTTCACTAAAGGAGAACTTTTAAAATATATCTGGTTTTCCATCCACACAGCTGTTAAAACAGTGATATCTTCAAGAACTAGAAGCAGCAGCTATTTTTGTTCTCTGCCCCACCCACATTGCAGGAGGGAGTTATTCACTTATTCCAACCTACATTTATTTTCAACTCATGGCTCATTTCCTTGGGCAGCTGAAGTTTAGTATGAATACACCCTGGACCACTGTGGTTTGTTTCAGTTTCCTGATGTATTAGTGCCACAGCAACAGTAAGCATCCCTCACATGCTTCATACATAGGTACCAGCCAGCAGCACCGAATTAAAAAGCAAGGCTACATAGATTGTAGGTCTTCCCTGCACTTATTAGCTGTATCATATTTAATTTGGAGATTAGGTCAACCAGTCCATTAAAAGAACAAGGCTCCTTGGTTAAGGGCAAATATAATGGTAAACAATAGAGGAAATTTGTGCTCTGGAGAAAGGCAGCATTCACAGGCTTGTCCAAGATGATGATACATCCTGTCTATGTTGTTTGCATAGCTATCAGATAATAAATACATTAAAAAATATAACAAGCAAAAACATTACTTACACTGACAGGGTTTGGGGGCTTTTTGGTTTTTTTCTTTGATTGGTTTTGTTTTAGGCATTAATTGCCTGGTCCACCCAAATACTCCACTTGCTTCCATTTTAGCCTATCATTTGTCACAAATGAGCATGAGACCATGCTGCATTTGATCCCGCAAAGGTACATGGTAAAAAAGAGGAGCTCTAATGATATAATATCTCCTTGAGCCAGGTCTTATGAGCGCTCAGAGAAACATCACACCCAAGATAGCCCAGCTACCTCAGATGGCATAAAATCAGCAGGATGGCTTCTGAGGTAGTGTTGGAAACAGAAAAGTTTTAATAAAAGGCAAAATAACAAAGCTTTTTACAGAGAAAAATGAAGCCAGGGGCAAGAGGCTCTTGCTCCTGGTAAAAACACCCCGCAAAAGCAATTACTTCCTTTGCTGTCTTCTTTTTCTAGTGAATTGCTTAAGTGGGACCTTTTGGCTTCTGTCCAATTGGGTATCTTTAGGATTGAGGGGAAGTCCCCAAGGTCCTATGAGGCGTCCTTTTACCAAATTGAGGAGAGAAACTTCTGGGCTTTTTTCCTTTTTAAGGAGACAAAGGATAATTTATTCACTCCGTCAACAGGGGGCACATTCCTACACTCTAATAGTTTAGAAACCTGGTTCCTGCAAGAGCAGTGAAAGATAAGTAAAGAGGAGGAGTAACACGAGTGCAAGATCCTTGATTGTGAAAGATAAGCTGTTTTGTCAGCTTCCCACTCATGTTGTTGTCATAAGAACATGTTCTTTTTTACTGTCACCATGCCCTCCTAGTGGAGGAGGAAAACACACTTACCTGTGGAGACCTTTTGGATAATAATAAATTCCTCCATAACCTTGGCAATCTAAGGGCAATATACAATTTCAGATAAAAGCAATTGCCAAGGCCTCTGCTGATATTTCATTTGCATTTCAAGAGAAAAGAAAGGACGAGGTGGAAAGTAAGTAGAGAAAATAACACCAAAAATCAGAAACACTTCTTTAAAACAGGGCAAGACAAAGTAGTCTCTATTTCAAGTCAGATTGGCATTTTTACCAGCAGGTAACAAAGTATACTCTGATGGAGAAGGAAGACTTGCACACCAGATGATGAACAACAAGTCTCAAAAGTTTATTGAATAGGCACACACATTTATAGCAGTGTTAATAAGGCTAATGCATATTGCAAAAATTGAGCTCATCATTGGTTAGTCATTTATCAGTCAACTACGTCTACGTTTACATTCTTGTGCTCAGCTTGTTATGGTTTCTCCTATCATTCCTTCATTCTTGCTAGTTAACGAACCTCTCCCACAACCTCAAGTTTCGGCAAGGGCACAGTGACCTTGCCGCTTTTAGACACTGATTTCTGACTCCTATCCTCGTCTCCTTCTTGCTTAACTAACGGTATTATTCCAGCATGATCTTTGTCAGCTAGCTAACTGTCTACAAAATCCTCTACAATACTCCACTTGTAATTGACAAGTTCGTGGGTTCATCCCTTGGTTTATATTTCCCCATTCTATATGTAAGTACCAACTTCACAGAGTTTTCAGCTTGCTTTGCTAAGACAGCCAAAAAATGGCTGAGAAAATACTGACAATCCCACCATCCTCTCACAAATGACACATAATACACATACATTGAGAGGTCTGAGCTTTACTTTTACACAGCTTGGAGTCATAACCATAATGAGGATCACACATTCCAAGGCTCCCTTGATGAGCTGGAGAAGTGTTGCAGGACAGGAAAAAAAAGGCACATCAATCTCCTAAGTTCTTACAGAAGCAGAAAATTTCTCTTCCAGCAGTTGTTCTTTATCTCCCTATATTTTCCTGTGTCTGGCCCCTCTTTTTTGCCTATTCAGTCTCCCCTTTTACCTCTGGTAAGAAGAAAGTACATAGTAGTGCGGGAAGAATGCTCTCACCACTTCTCTTACTGCAGTCTCTGTTAGCAACTCTCAGAAATCAGTCACACAGAAAGACAATCTCCCCGTTTTAAACTCTGGCATACTGAAAGCATTTGAGAGTTATTAGGCTTTTCAATTACATTTCTTCACATTTTTATACCTAGAAAATAAATCAACAGCTTAAACAGCCATGGAAGCACATCTTACTATAGGTGGGAGTAAGCAGATGTGTTCCAAATCAGGAAAGCCTGAGGCAATTTTCCTTACTTCCTGGTGGCTTTCCTTTTAGCCTGTGTAGCTAAAAGCTGCACAAAAGGGCAGATTCTCCTACTGCTTACCCATGACACCAACACTTAGACTGACTTATCCACCAAAGAAATTCACATACCTGTAGCAATGCCAGGCCTGGCCACAGAAGAGGAGAGCTCAGTTCTGTGCTACCTCTGTGCCATGCAGCCCCAGGGCAATTATCACTTCTGTTGGCCCCTCCACGGGATATTGTTTTTCTAGACTCTCCAGGGCTGGGTAGAGTTGTATCCGTGCATCTGTCCCTCTGTAGGATGTATCTGAGCTCACCAAGACTGATCCTCTGTCTTTTCTGAGACTTCAGCCAATGGACTGCTGTCATGTAAACATTAACTGTTCTTACCAAGGTCTGTCTTAAGAGCACCATGGCCAAAACAGCAGCTATTTGTGTGTTTCATTAGGGACATCCAGATAGTAAAAGAAGCCTGATCCTTTGATATGAGAGCTACTTACCAGGAGAGCAAATATTTTATACCAATAAGTGATATAGGAGATGGAAATATTCCCACTGCATACTCCTTAAGTGCACTTGCTCTGTTCCTGGAGGATGGGCTTGTCAGAGGCCAAATCCTCAGCCTTCAACATCCAGCGGTAACAAGCAAGCAGCTATCCAGAAATAACAGCAGCAGAGGACAGTGGATGTCACATCATAGGCTTTCTTTAATTTGTGTAATGCATACAGACACAAAAAGGGATCTAACAAAACCACAAAACATGATTTCAAAACACTGGATATTTTCTATGACACTGTCCTTGGCTGTGATTAATTTATCTCAGCTTCACACACCCAGACATCAGGGACATGATGCCCTGGACACTGTTCTGCTCTTTGTCATAGCAGATGTTCTACAATGCCATCCCTGGTCTTGTGACATGGAGGAGAAAGTCAGCATCTGCTTTTTCCCTCTGACATATAACACTTCCTCCCCAACATGCAGTTCAGAAAACATACTTTGGTGAAATGCTTCATGTCTTGTGACATCAGGAGATCTGTCTCTAGAGCAACATGGTTACAGTGGCTCACAGGCGTATTGCTAGTCTAAGTCGCTGAGAGAGTCTAGCAGTACAGACATGATTTATTATAAGTAACCATTTAAGTCCTCAAGGTATTGCAAATATTTTGAAGTCGTACTTTAATGAACATAATTAATTTTACTGTAGATTCTTCTCATCATCAGGGAGAATTTTATTAGCATATTTTATGTTTCCCTATTTATAAAATTATATTACTTTGCTTTAAATAAGGATATTTCTTTATTGTTTTCCTGCTGTGTCACGTGCAAAATATCTTATGGGGAGAGAAGGAAAACATGTTGGGTTTAATATAAAGCTACTCTATTTTCTGGTAGAGATAAGTAATGGAAAAATGAGATAAAATAAATAGCATTTAACAAACATTTCTGTTTCCCACAGATCCATTTTCTATTACTATCTGGCAATATTTTTTCTGTTGCTCTTCCTTGAAAGACTCTTTGACCTTTTTCCTTTTCAGTCCCCCATCCCTGAAAGATAGAAAAAAGAAACAGCCATAAACTCAGGGTCAAGACAGGAAAACATTACTATATTTAGACTATGTAGTCAAAGCAGTTTCCACTCTTAATGTTGACATCTGTAAGACAATGCTAAGTGATTTATACTGCCAAGACTCACAACACCACAATGCCCTCCTTTTAACCAAGCATTTAACAGGCAAGTGATTAATTTTCACGAATACTGCCTGCTGTCTAGATCCACTGTCAGCTCTGTTTCTCTCTATCTACTATATTATTCAAATTATTCTAATGTAATTTTTTAAGTAATAAAGTAACACTTTCGGAATCAGTCAGCTGGAGTGGTGGACTACGGTGTAAACAAAGCAGGTTTTAAAGGATTCCATGCTAATATTTCAGAATACAGAGCCCCTTAAAAAACAATTCCAGAGGTGTTGCTTCTTACCATGGAAGCACAGACATTCCTGCTCGAGCAGCGATGACAGCCTTGACTCTGTTAGCAAAGTGAACAGCATCTTCTTCTTCCTGAAAAAAATATATTAATTAATTGCTTTACAACATAGACATTTTCTCTGTGCCTCACTTAAAAAGATAGGTTTTGTCAGACAGCAGGCAGTAGGATTTATGCCTGACCCACAAGCCAAATGTGAGCAGTTCTAGCTGATCCTAGTTTGCCACTATTTGGTGCCAAAAAGAACTATGTGGGAGGCTCTCTGGTTTCTGGGACAACCTCAAGCACACAGCCTGAAGTCCCAGGTCTGGCCAGAGCAGGGGATGCAATCTAGATAAATCCAAGACTGTAGTGTTGCTTCCTGGCCTTTGCCCATTAAGTTATCAATAAGGATTCAGAACACCTTGTGTAGTAATGCAGACCTTCCAGACAACATTTCTCAAGCACTTTCAAAACATACAAAAGTGTAAGAACCTCTTTGACCATCGGGGGCAGGTACCACACATTGCAGACAATAGCCCAGCTGGTTAACACATTAAAAGCATAGGTCATCATGGAATGCTTTGTGCTGTTCCAGAAGGCATCTCCAAAGCGAGGGTCATACTGGAATACAAGAAGAATAAGCTGCCTTGGTTTAAATCACATAAACTGCTTTTTTTTTTTGCCACTAAGTCACAATTCAACTTATTAAATAATGGGCAAATCTAACCACACCTCCTGAAAGCATCAGTAAATTCAGAATAGAGTTCCAACATTTATTACAAGTTTCTAACAGTTAACATTTACAAGCAATGCATGATGTCAAACTATGACAGACCTGCAACACAACTGTAGCAAAAGATTTATTCAAAACATAAAAACTTGTAATCTACAAATAAGCTGACTACAAAGGTTTCCTTGACAATGCTCACACCAGTTTTAAGAACTTCCATAAGATCAGACAACCTTATAGCGCCAGAAAAAGTAACTAATATTTCCAGATCTAGAATGACCTGGCTAAAGCTACTCAGAAAGACTTGAAAGTGCCAAGAAAAATACTCTTTTCTTCAGAGCACGTAAGAGCCAGGACAGAAATTTATGTTTTCCGTACTGCTTAAAACCACAAGTTTGTGTCTCTCAGGGCTTATTCAGTACTTTCTGCACACCAAACATATCCCTTTTCAAGGCCTACACATGAGCAACTTCTCTGACATGAGAAGCATTTGCAACCAATCCTTCCATGTTGGGAAAACTGCAGTTACAGTACCTTGATTGCTACTGGATGGATGGTTCCTCCTACCTCAAAGCTTCCCTTCTTAAACATCATTACCGACGTGTTGTTAATGCAGGTGCCTGGTCAGAATTAAAATAGTGAAGGGCTTAATCCACTCTGAGAAAAGTATCAGGAAATTAATCTTAAACTGTCTTAAGGAGACTTAGCTGTTAAAGGAGAAAGTAAGCTTTAGTTCTGGAACATAATCCCAGAGCCTGGTATGTCTTCATTCTGTTATATGCTAAAGCAAATAAACTGTCATAAAACTGTTGTAAAATACTAGAGCCTGACCTTTAATATCTCACAAGAGCTAATTAATTCTACAAACTAAAAACAAACACCTCACTTCTAAACACTGGATATAATAAACTGCACTCAATGGCAAGAAGTGAGAAGAACAAAAAAATCAATACAGTTGCTTCTTACCTTCTGGGAAAATTAAAATTGGTAACTTGGCCTTATCTGCAATGTGTTCTCTAATTCTGTGGAGAGAAAATAAAATTTCAGTGTATACTTCATATTTATTTTGTCCAAGAATCTAAACATTCATTACCTCTCACACAGAACAAGAAAAGCCCTTGCCCAATTGCCTTTTGCCCAGTCAGTTGCCTCATCTGGAATATGTTCTGGTTTCAGGCCTTTATCTCAGTGTCTCTTGCTAATTTAAAAAGTAGATTTTCTACAAAGCTGCGTGAAGTTCCATTTTAACCAGAGAATGGTGGTACTTGAAGCATGTGAAAATAACTTCCCAGATTCCAGCTATGAATGCAGTCAAACTTTTCTTTAGACTGAAATATATTCCAAATTTCTAGTTTTTATGCTTTCTAGGTTCCCACCATCAGTTTAACACGTATCTAATGATTCTCCACATTTAGTTAAGTGACAGGTCACTATCTTACTACATTTGCTGCATCACTTAAAACCACAAATATCACCACTAAGCAGATTACTGACACTAAAATCGGTCATTTTCCAAGACAACTGTCTTTCCTACAAGTCAAAAGCATGGAGCTCCTCTTTGGCCTGTATTAAAGGACAAAATCAAAACACCATAAATCAAAAAAAAAAAAAAATACCAAAAACAACACAAACCCAAAACAAAACAAAAAAACCCAACAACAACAACAAAAAAACCCACAATTGATGACAAAAAATGTCAACACTGATGACAAATTACCACACCTGACCAGACAATGAAGCAAACACCTCACTACCTTACTTTTTCCTCACCAGGTGACGGTCTTTCATTTCTGAGCGTTCAAACAAGACATGCTGAGAGGTTTGCATGCAGGATTTTTGAATAAGTCCCATAAGCCCTCCATGTACCTGGCCAACCTGCAAGCCCAAAAGAATTTTGTTACAAAGCAAACACACACACACACTCTTAAATTATTAAATTCTAAACACAGATGCAATAATTTCTAAGCTTATTGACAAATTATACCAATCCCCTTACTCATAAATGTGCACACACCTGCCTGCATCTCATTTTTTGCAGTTCAGAATATGAGTTTGAATGCTGCCAAATCCCACCTGTTCTATGAGGAAGTTTATCCTCTTACCCAACGCTACATCTATGTGCATCTCAACATTACTGATATTTACCAACTGTCTTGTTCATACCAAGGAATAACATCCATCACTGGCCAGGATTAGGACATCCAATGGAGATGTGTGGTTGGCTACACAGATACCTCCTTCCTGTGGTTTGTTTTCCCTGCAATGACAGCCATAAAAGCAATTAGTTAATGTTAACTCTCTCGACTACAAGCCCAATCAGGTGGCAAGCAATGAAAAATATCTGTGTCTGAAGACAGTACTACATCATCTACACGCACCCTGCCAATACACAGCAGGAAACACAGGAGGGCATGTGAACATCCTGACAGAGTCTGGATGATCCAAACAGCTTTTTGGATCAAGTTGTACCATCACCAAGTATCCAGGCAGCAATGGAATACGAATCCTGCTCCAAAACTTGAGATGCTAAATACTCCAAGAAACAAATTCCAAACTAATAAAGGGCAAGGTGGCAGCACTCACCTGTTATGGAAATGAACAAGGCCACTCAGACATCGGACACCTAAGGTGGCACATATCATCTGGACCTGGTTGCTCAGCCAGCCTTTAACTCTAAAAGAAATGAAGGCATAGATACATTTCTAGTTCTATGGAGTCACACATGCAATGTAAACTCTCTGAGTTATCCCCCATTGCTGTTACTACAAAGACCATACTAAGGCTCACACTGCATGTCTGCTTTCAGATGCCATTGCCATAACTTTCTCTCACAACACTCTATACATGAGTGAAGAAGTCAGCCCATGATAGTCCACATCAATCCTCTGGACCTCAGCAGAGTGTTCCAACTACTAGTTCAAATCCTCAAAGAAATACAGAAGAAATTGAAAGAGCGCTCAGCAAATACCTACCTGCCATTTGGAAACCGTCCTACTACAGTAGTGGCCAACACCAGCAACAGAATGCTGAAAACAGACAAGCAGATGCTACAAAGTAAAATAATCTTAATTAACCGGCAAGAAGCAAAACTGGAGGAGTAAGCAAGAAGGCATTCTTATTTGGCTCTTTGATCCACTTCACAATGCTTCCTTCCAGCATTAATAGCATCTAACTAGCAACAAAATACTAGCTAACCAGCACACAAACCCCTTAATCCAGTTTTGCTGGATTTTAAAAGCAAATTAATGACTAATAAAACATATGGAATGTGAGAAATTTACTTTTTTTTCTTAAGGTATATTTGAGTTTAGATGGCTTCTTGGAAAGGTCATGCCAGGTTCTCCTTCCTCCAATAGTATATTGCTAGCCAACAGTATATTATTTCACAACTTCTGTAAAAAGTACCATGAAATATGATCCCTGTCTGGCTCACCGGAAAGGCAGCAGGAGGCAATACCGAATGAGGATGCCAGTGACCCACACAGCAGCCAGTTTCCAGCTGACATGGTGCAGGTTGGCATTGGTTCTGCTGAGGAGATTCCAGGACAGCAGCTCCTCAGAGGAGAACCGGTGAGTGACTTCATCTTCTGCAACTGCCTCACAGCCCTTCTTGGAGAAGTACATGACATCAGCAAGGCCGAAACATCCTCGGCACCAGCCAACAACCTCCTTTTCCATGGGAGTCTCATCTCTCTGGATGATCCCTGCATGAGGAAATGAGCCTTCCTTCCTCATGGTGAAATTAACAACATGGATTCCAAAGAGAATATCAAGAAATACATATGCTTTTTAGAAACAGCTCTTCTCCTACTCAAGCACAATAATGGCATTCCTATACCTCATTTATGTACTGACATTTCATTCCACAAGTTACTTCTCTAATCCTATGCCATATAATGCCCTTAAGTTGCTGAGGAAGGAGAAAAGGATTCCAATCAAGCTGCAAATAAAACCTTGAGCATAACACCTACTTCATTATTGTTTACCAAATAACATAGGCACTCACACCTAGAAATGTCACCTATACACTGCCAAGATAGTAGATCCCCACTGATGCCTTGACTCAAATTCAGGCAGAGTTTGTATGATTGTTCTTGCTGCTGTTGATTAGCTTTATTGTTTCCCATCTGTAAAAAACACCTTCCTCTGCTTTTTTTTTTTTTTTTTTTTTTTTTTTTCTTGGGACCTTCTATCTCCCCCCATCCCTTCTCCATTAAGAGTCACTTCCCCACCAAGAAACTTGAAAGTGCCTGGATTTCCCCCCGAAGGCATACAAAGTATTACACAGACACATTGTGCAGGAAGAATGACAACACATTCTTTCTCTGCTATTTGTAAAATCACACCACATAGGACAGCCATGCAGGAAGTCTCAGATATCTGCTGAGGTCACTCTGCAACCAGATTCTTATCTGGCTGGTTACAGAGACTAAAGTTCTCTTGGTTCATACCAGCTAACACTTGGCCTTTTTGTTTGCCCCCCCCCACCCTTTTTTTTTTTTTCTTTTAGATGGGGAGTATTGGATGACATTATAAAAATACACTTAATTTATCTTGATCAACCTACCTCTCCCTGATCAGAATCACAAAACTTTCCTCCATCTGCACTTCAGTAAAACCTTCAACTCCCAAGAAATCATCAGACTAGAAAATTATTAGCTGACAAACCAAGCAGCCTACATGACTAATCATTAAAAATGGCACTACAAGTAAAAGGATAACTATGAGAATTTAACTCTTTGATCAAAGAAGGAAGGAAAAATAGTTGAGGGAAAAAATTATTTGGATTTTATCCACGTGTCTAGAAAAGAGTGCAAATTGTATCTGTGATCCATGGGATGCTGTAACTCTTTTATTTCAGAGCCTGGATTTTTTGCGTGCTAGGAGTTACAAGAAGCAAAAGATAACTATGCAGAGCCATGTCATGCACAAAGAATACTAATTTTTCCCAGTCCTGTAAAGAGAGACCTGATGGAGCCAGAAAACAAAAACTATTTATGAAAACAGGGATGCTTCCCAAATGCTTATCAGCAATGTCTTTCTATACCCACACTAGTCTCTAATTCCTTTTATTCACAAAACTCAGAGATTATATTTTTTTATAACATGCTTATGTAGGTTTATAGCTTCAACAGATATTTGCTCATCAAACTCCTTTCTAAGTAAGATTGTTAAATAGCTGCCTTTTTACACGATAAATAGTGCTGTGTCCCCTTCATCCAGAGATCTTACCAGTGGAGATTAAATTTTCAAGTGCCATCGCCTTCTGCTTTTTTACTCCCTCCTCAATCTGCAGGGTGGCCCACTGTTCCCAAAACAAGAAAAGCAGATGTTGACGGTTTTCATTTTATCATTTCCAGACATTCTGCAGTTACCTCAAGTGAATTGTCTGAGCCTCTTTCACCCCTGCCAGGTCTAGGATTTTCATTTTTCAAATTCAGCCTGAAGGGTGCCCTGCACGCCTCCTGTTTCATTTGTTACATAGACTACCTTTTGCCATTTCCAGGAAAAATTGTTTGGCTCAAACTTCTTTTCAGGACACAGGCAGTTGTTTTTTTTCTGGGGGTCCAACAAGTTACTGAACTACCTATGAGACTCTATAAGATCCAACGTGTCCAAAACTCTCTCTTCTCCAGTTAGCTTCAGGCAACAGGATTATACAAAATAGTATCACTGACATTAGAGACATGCCAGAAAAATAGAACTAAAAAATTTATTTTAAAGAATAAAAGAAATTAACTCATTTTGAGGGCATTCAAGTGGTCTCTGCTGACAGCAAACAGAGCTGGCAACATTTTATATTAATAGTATTTCAGAAGGTGGCAGCTGTGATAATGAGCTTTAACCCTTCCCTGTATTCATTTTTTTGGGCTAAACCACTTCTCCTTGTATAGAGCACCATAAACCAAAACTCTCCATTAGCAAAATCAAATATAAAAATATGCCTAATTTTTGAAGTTTTCCTAGTTTTGAATGTTTTCATCATACATACACACATAGACGTATAAATAGTAGCTCTCATGAGTACTAAAATCTGGCTGTATTTATGTCAAGGTACCTGCCCTAACAAAGGACATAGGACGCTTTAGCGTAGGCTCTGTTCATTATTAAAGGCTCAGTGACCCACTCAGTTTGTGCCTTCACCTGCTATTAAGGGTTCCTATCTACAACAGATAAGGATAATCCATCTGCTTCATATAAACTCTTGCTAAACACTGTATTTCCCTCTAGCTGACATGTGCAGCCACACAAGTCACCACAAAGCTGATCTCAAATAGTCTTCATTACATTACAACATGAGTCATGTGCGAGCATCAACCAGCTTTTTGCCACCTTTAAGTTTTGCATGCTCTTTCTGTAGCTATCAAAATTAAGTCAGTAACAAAATGGACACTTTGCCTTGACATAACTAGGATATTTTAGTTACCCTTAGCTGACAATTTTTTTTTTTACCAGGCTCATAAAAGAAAAGAAAAAAGTGAAGGCAGAACAGCATTTGATGTGGTATTTTAAGCTCCATACAAACCTTCTTTAATAACACCATAAAGCAAACAACCTCCCCAAAAAAGAAATTAAAAAACCTGCACCACAGAGCATCATCTTGTCTATACTTCCCAATTATTCTCCTGAGAAGGTCAACAAGTACATAATCTTTCAATCTTTTGCAACACATGGAGAGTCATTCAGAATGGTGGAGCCAGGGGATGTCATGAAAACAGCAGCCCACACACTGAGAAATGAAAGAACATACAGAACAGGTACAGGAATGTTGCAAAAGAGAGTAAGGCAGACGTGGCAAATTTAAACTCTTCACAAAATACTGCTGGTCCTCATCCCTTCCCCAAAATCCTTTAGGATAGTTGCATAGCATGAGGGAGAAAAAAGTATAAAACATAAAATATTTGAGACTGACAAATAAAGCCTTTTGCCTTAGTCTGCTTTCCCATCTCCTCTCTACCACCCTTATCTTGCCTATCATTGCCCTCCTACATAAAAAAGCACCTGTCAGCTGGCCAGGACTGCCAGAAATGAGCTTGCTCATACTGTCCTGAAGGACCTGGAATACCTCCAGGAGGTATTTTGGCTTTTGATTTCCAGACAGAAAAAGGGTGACAATCACTGACCAAGCTGACTCCAAAAATATATGTTAACTAATCGAAATGAGCAAGACAAGTCAAAATCCACAAAAATTTATAAAGCTTACTAGTAAATTATAAAATCTTGCCTCCTAGAACAGAGAAAGAGTGAGGCAAAAGTTGCAGACAAACTAAATAGTCAAGGCTACAAAACCAGTGTCCAAGGAAGGTGAGGAAGAGCTTTCAAAGGCTGAACAGTTACACAGGGCTCGTTAGCTTGGAAAAGAGCTAGCTGAGATGGGTTAAGACAGGCATCTACAAAGTCTGGACTGGCACAGAGCAGGTGCTTAAGGAGCAGTTATCAATTTTCTCTTCTACTACAAGAACTGAGGTTTACCATGGGAAAGCTTTGGGGAGAGTATGTGAGCAAGAAAAAAGGCAATATATTTCCACAAACCATCAGGGAACATGAAATTCTCCTAACTCATGGCTTGGCATGGGAGGCTGAAGAACAAGCAGTGAGGAGGGAATACAGCTGTAGAGTCACCCAGGTCTTAAGCTTTCAGTCCAGCCATTGAATTGACACCTGTCAAAGCCATCTCTCTGGATTAAACTCAGGACTAACTAACTCTGCAGTGGCTACTGTGGTGTTCTGCCTTTGGTAGCATCTGTATGTATAATTTGTTTTCCAAAATGAAATAAGGCTTTGTGATCGCCTTTGTATTGCACAGTATTGAGACAGAGCTGTCACGCTGGTCTTTGTTGCAAAACAGTAATGAAAGGATGTTTTAAATACCTTACAAAAAAACCCACAGATGTTGCAACTAACACAGAATTTAAGTATTAAATGTAGCAACTTCATTCCTACATCTGCTGACTGAAGGAGAAGAAGATGTTGTGCTTTCCTTCACTCCCATTTCTGAAGTGATGAGCACACAAAAAGTCCAAACACCCAACGGTAAATCCCACCTGGAATACTGAATACTTGACAGCTTAACTCCAACAGTCCAACGGTCATTTGTTTGAGCTTCCTGTAATTACATTTTAAACAAAATGAGGGTGCCCAATACTTCTTTATGTTAATTACTGTCTTCATAGGACATGACATGAAATACAATGTGGAATATTCATTTCCTGAAATCTCATATCTTGCAGGATTTTTCCTCCCTTTTCCCTTTCAAGTATAGCTCAATACCCCATCTTTGCATATGAAGTAATAATTCAGTTTTGCCTCTCTTCCCATATTTTACTACCTCTTCTCCCGTATTCTCACAAGAGGTTTTTCTAATCACTCATTACATGAACTTTTCTCAATCTTTTCCTCCTGTGTCACAAAGGCTTTGAAGCAATTCTTCCATGTAAACTCTTCCACTACAGTGGCAGAGAGAAGGTTGGTAAGTTTTCAGCATCAACTAAAATCACTATCTAAGGTCAAGCACTTGTGACCTCTTCACCCAGCAGCGGTTTCTGCATGGCATTATTTCCCCTTGTCCATCACGAACATGAACCCATATCAAATGGTGTGAGTGTTACACTCAGCATTTGAGAAGATGTGACTGTCCACCCTCAGGCTGTGAAAAGGACTCACAAATCTCCTGGCTGCTCCATGAGGACTGATGAAACGGGTTAAGAAGGGTTTGTTTGGGATAAAAGCACAGGTATAATTTGTTTTGGTTTTGATGGAGAGGCCAGCTAAGGATAACCATGTATTTAAAAGAATAGCAGTGAAATTTTTCACCAACTGATGTGTCTGCAACATCTGCCATACTCCAGTAGGAGTTCACAGCATATGAGCTACCTCTGTGTACAAGTGAGCTCTCAATGCAAAAACTACTCACAATTTTTAGCTGGCTGATTTTCTCTAGAAGCAACAATGCTTCATACAGAAGTTCAGATCTTGTAGAACTCCAGAACATTTCTTGGCCAATAGTGCTGCAGCTGTTTAATGCGTTCCTTTGACTCTTCACAGGGGTTTGAGAGCATAGATTTCATCCTAGCAAATGCATTTTCTTTTGCAGTCACTGGAGTAACATTCTTGGAACAGCTTTGCTACTATCCTCATCTCCAACAAACCCCAGGATGGACAAAGCTCAGAGAAAAGACATTATTTACAAATAAAAGTTTACAAGCATGTGTGAAAGAATAACCCTAACAAAACCCAAACCATGTTCACCTTTATAATTTCCAGAAATATTTGAAAGATAATTTAAGGGTAATAATAATAGGAATCATGGGCTAATAGATATGCAATTGAGAAATTACTGTATATTACTGTATATTACTATATTGGCGTATATCTTTTGCTATTATGTTATCCATATGTCCTCTTTTTGTTTCCCAAAAGTCCCAAAAAAAAAAAAAAAAAAAAAAAAAAAAAAAAAAAAGCAACTGCAAACAAAACCAGTCATGCCAAATTTCAAACTTTGAATCTTGCTTTTATAAAATTATTTATTTTCTTTCTAAAATAACAAGTATCTAGATTCCTTGATGGAAAAGCAGCAGAAGGTAAAAATTATTTCCATGCATGATTACATCTTTCCTATTTAGTCCAATCACCACTCACAGTGCTGTAACACTTCAGTGAAGTCAAGAAATCAAAGTGACTTATTGTATGCCACCAATACTCATTGCTTAGTGATAGATCTGAAAACTTGAGTTTTATTCTGAAACACCTTTTTTGCTCCCAGCAAATTAAGTAAGGTCTAAAGATACACTTTCTTTGAAAACAAAACTTTAAAAAACATTTTTTTTACTTTGAAGTCCTTGATTTCAGTCTCCACTCTTCTATTTTTCTCCAGTTGCCAAACATGGAGGAAAATAAAACACACTTTTCCTCTGCTCAGCTGTAAGAAACAGATATAAAGAAACTCCTTGGATGAGAAGTTTTCTATTAATTTTGCTGGTCTACATAACAGGCTAAGTCAAATTAAACACAATGGAGTGACCAGCCACAGTGCTCAAGGTTGGATTTTTGCTGAAGCATCACCCAGTTTTTTGGCACTTCCTTGAGCAGTGATATTCCTGCAATATAGTCAGTAGTGTGCTAATACATGACTAAGCATCTTCAGCATTTCCAGCTCAGCTCTCCGGGAAGGCATCCTATTTCACCATTCCAGAGGACAACAGGAACCACAGATGGTCTCTGTGCATTATCCCATTAGCAGGATGTGCAGGAACACAACACCACAGCTAGAAGCCAGCCAACACCTCTCCAGGGTTTCAATGTCAGGTTGTATAAACCTGCTTTAAAGCTGACTTATCCCAAGCTGCAATTTTGCTTGCATTCTAGTGAAAAAGCTCCAGGACTCCAAGAACAGGCCCAGCAATTCCATGTACAAGCTTTAACACAGGGTTTTCCAGTCCTACCCTTTCTTCCAAAGAGCCTAGTGGGCCACATTACAAGCAAAGGGGACCTAACACCCCCTCCCTTCTTTCTCCCTCCCATTTTCCACCAAGATAGCTCTTAACTACTTTTGTGGCACAATGAGAAGCATTTGACAACACTTCAAAGAAAACCATTCGAATTAATTGTAAGATGAAAACAGCGGAAACTCCTTTTTTGCCCACAGGACAATTAGGGGACAACTTTGAACAAAAGAACAAAATAAGCCAGCCTAAATAGCAGTGCATGGAGTTGTGCTGTTCCTGTTATTAGCTGCTGTGGCAACGGGGAACTAGACACAAAAGGCTATAGCTGATCATATAACAATTAACTTATTTATTTTTCAGTACATGATCCTCTACATTGTGAGCATGGAATTATGACACTCATAACCTGTTACAAAAACTGTGGAGAGAAAAATACTTCAAGTGCTTTACCAAAGAGAAGTGCCTTCTTACACAAAACTCACCCTGAGTGGGTCAAATGTCTTTTGGAGTTGTGAAATGCACAGGGAAAAATCCTCCAGAAATTATTTTGATGCCCACCAACTGCAGCAGCAAAGTTGTCTAAAGACAGGTTTGATATGACACTAGCTCTTAATTAGGGTATGAATAAGAATTTAATTAGCATACCACTGTCTGATTAAAAATATTTCACGTATAAAGGCCAATATTACATACAGCCACCGCAGGCAGTCATTGCCTGCTGATATCAGTATCTGAAAAAAATAAGTAACCCCTAAATTTTGCAGTCATCTGCACTATGCTAAATGATGTTCATACAGCTGAAGACAGATACTGCCCAAGAGCTCCTAATCAGTATTAAAACAAACAAACAAACAACAACAAACAGAAAAGAACATAAGAAGGATAAAAGACAGAATTGGCAAGGTAAGATGGTCATGATATTAACTGTATCACACAGTTACAAACATGTTCTACTTCAAAACAGATTACTCCAAGGGCTTAATAATAATAGCAACAATAATAGTAACAAGTTTTCTGCCACAAGTAGAAAGTATATTTACAGAAAGCGGGTTTATGCCAGAAGCACAAAGTCAATCTACTGGAAAATGGAAATGCTTTACTGTTCAATATGATGAATTTACAGCATCTACTTCTGGCTAATAATGGATATCAAAAGCCAAACTTGAAAAATTAAATGGGATTCTGGCTTATAAAAAGCCCCAGAAACCTTTTATTGATAGAAGCAGGATCAGAATCATAGCCATTATCTGTTTATCACTAGAAAAATTATACTTTTAGAAGGTTGCACACAGATTCCTTTAAGTCTTGTACAGCAGAGCTTGTGAATCCCCCAGATTTATAACTGGGTGAAGCAAACACACAGAATCAGTGTTCTTACCTGGAATATTAATTCCATGCAATTAAAACAATCCAAATAAAACGACTGAAACTTATATACATCTAAAATACACATTTTTATTACTTAGCAACTCCCACAAACTAACAGATCTTTTTCTTTATACTTGACTTGTCATGAGTATTCTACTTGCATTAAGCATTCTAACAAGCATAAACTAGAAGAAAATACCATGGAATCTCTATTTTAACCCCAAAAAACCTCAAACCAGTAGCAGATGATAAGCCAGCACATAACTAGGTATCATTAAAGACACCCCTCAAAAGATTATCTTATAAAATAAAGCTGCAAATAACACATACAAGTTAATGGATTTTGTTTTCTGCTGACTTTTACGGATTTCTATCAAATGTACAGATTTTTATTTTTTTATTAAACACAACCTGTAGCAAACATACCTTTTGAACCCACTTCTCAACTTACCTCTAACATTTTAATTACAATTTTCACATAGAAATGAGAAATCCCCAGTGACACTCGAAATATCGAAGGCAACAAAATTAATGCCACAAATAAAATAATCCAGATAGACAAAATCTTGCCTTCTGCAAGGCCATGACCTTCTCTATTTTCTTCCATGTTTTCCCCTCCAAAATGCCAACCAGCTGCCTTTCTGAGAATATATGTTCATCTGTAGTGGAGAATCTAGCAAGCTTCAAGAGACAGAGGCAAAGAAAAATTTTACATTCTAAGAGCCAAAGCTGTCTCTAGGAGAAGGCTGTTGCTCACTGAAGACTGACACTACTGATACTCTCAACGATAAAGTAATTTCTACCCTTTGTCCCGCCCTAACTCCACCTACTTCCTTGTAATTGATAAGCTCCCTGCTCACCAGGGGAGAAGAAAGAAAAAACATGATAAGTAATAATATATGTTAGATAATTAGATGCTGCCAATAAGGAACCTTGTCAGTGTGACAACTGGTTGTCACAAGGTGTCCTGCCAATAAATTACAATACAGAACTAGGTGGGTGTGTTTTTCAGACTACCTAAAATCTTCTCTTATTAACACACATGAAGCATTTCTCCAACTGATGTTTTGCACAAATCTGTGACTTAATCACTGAGATTTTCTATTTCATATGAGATAACTGCCTTGTTTTGGTATTTGAACAAATGAATGAAAGAGAAGCTTGAGGTTCAAGTCAGGCTTTTTCTATTTTATTTTATTTTTAATAACACATTTGAAATGAAGATGCAAATTTCAGCAGATAAGGACTGACAAGACAATAAGCCTGCTCCCTCCACTCTATCTCTATCAGAAATTCGCCAAAAAAACCTGTATTACAGGGTTACAAAATACACTGTAGTGAAGTAACAAGCCATCTATCTTCACACTACACACTTCATTCAACTACAGAATTGAAATGCAATAGATAATCCTGCTTCTCCTTCTAGCCTATCAAATTTCAATAATTCAATTCAGTATTTTTTAGAAAATACCCAGGTCAACCCCTTTCAGCCACTCTTCTCCTGCCTTTTCACTTGCATCAGAGATGATGTAAAGGTGAATAACTCTAGAACTTCATGGAAGACCACCAGCTACTCATTTACAACCTTCCTACAGAACAAATTACCAGCCTTGGTGGAAGGAGGATTTAGGGTACAACTTCCAAGACAGTGACATGCTGGTCCACAAAAGATCTTCTCTTTGCCAATACATTGGCATGTTTGTCTGAAGCCCTGGCTGTCCTTTTAAAATATTCCCATCCCCAAGTACCTTTGCTTGGTTTGTGTTGTGAAGCAACAAGATTCCTTATAAATGGAAGCAGCCGCAAAGACCTTGTGTAAAATGTGCATCCAACACTGTCCAGGCAGTAAGAGAAGCACAGATGTCAGAGGGGGCTGCACCACCTCTAATTTACACCACACACCCAGGCACCAGTACACAGACTCCTGACACTCACAAGCCCATGTGAATCCATGGCACGCTTCTTGTGCCACAGAGTGAGTCGAGTTGCTTCTGTACCTTCAGATTTTCTGCTGCATGATATCCCTCAGGTCTTTCAAATTAACATTGCAATCTTCTCCAGCAATATAACTTCTCTTTTGCATCTTTTCCTTACTTAGCTTCCTCACCTTTCTCTCCTCTTGCTGGTTGCCTTCTGAGCATTCTGTATCTCCTACAAAACCTCACTGGTTTAAGTGTTTCTGCCTTCCCAATGCTCTTTCTCTCATTGACAACATTAAGCCTCTCACTCTCCACCCTGCTGCTGCCAGGTACACCATTAACCACTATTTCTTACCTGCCCTGCCAAAAGGCTTCTCTAGGAACAATGCTCCATGGTAAAACAGCTTTGCTCACCCATTTCTCTTTAGCTACTATTCCTTATTCTCCTTTCTGGTCTCTTCCTCAAGTGGCTTGCCCAGCTAGCACACATTCCCTAGGGGGGCCTGTGGTGGAGAGCTGGAGGAGAGGGCGTTGATCCACCTGGCAGCATCTGTGAATAGCTGCCATCAGCCTCAGCACAGGGGATCGGTATGCATGGAGTCTAGGTGCTAAAAACCCCGTGGGCGGGAGGGTGGAGGTAATTTCT